GAAATAATTGTCAAAGACGGGGATACTTTACACAATAGCCTGTCAATTTATTTTCTGACTAATGGTAATAAGGTTTTTGCACGTTCAATTTATCCTTCCATGTTAGTTGCAAACCTGGATTTACCTTGCACCGGTTCTCACACAGTCGTGGTCCGATATCACGTAACTCACGTCCACTACCGCGAAATAAAGTTATTCAAATTCATCAACTTTCATAACTTACATTAGTTAGGGACCAGATATGGCACGTGGCTCAGTCCATAGAGTTGAGGAATGGTGAATTACTAATCATCGTCATTTCCTTACAAGAACCAATATTTATTGTTACAGATATCATTGTTATTTGCTTCTGACATTGCACCGAATGCCAATGTTATCATGATTGAAACATTCAGATTGGATAAAATCATCAATTTCATTACCAAATGAAATAATTGCGATAGGGTAAAACATGAACTACATATAAATGTAAATACTTTATTCTAAACGTATTTCATATCCTTTTTAAGGTATATCGACAGGTAGACATTCATGGACGTAACTTATACGTCAAAAAGCAGTTGAACTGCACTGAATTCTACACTGCTGTGAGAAGTTTTCAGTTTACCATTACTCTTCATTATGATTTATTATCGGTATGTTTATTCAGAAAATCTGTCTATCCAAAAATATATGTGCCTAACGACAGATCGATTTGCTGATCTATATATCTATCTATCTATATACCTGCCAAAGTCAAAGTAATAATATACAGAATCAAACATGTTGATAGTTCACTCAGAACGCCGTACGTTTATTCAACTATAATTAGTTGTCATAAAATAGACAATACCTAGAGTATTGTCGGAAAATTATAAGCTGCTATCTTCCATACAACAAGGGTTATTTGAAAAAAAATGTTCGATTACAGTAGTCTGAAACAGGAGAACGAGTGATACCATTGATCATAACAATCCGAATAATAGTTGAGCGGCATTTGCAGACCTATCAGTCAGTATTTCATATGCAACGTTGAACTTTGAACGTAAGTACATCAGTTCATGATGCCACACCACATTAACGCAGAGGCACAACTGTCGATTCCATCCCCTAGTAGTAGACATACTAGTAGTACTACTGGAAATAAAGAGTATTAGTTTCCAAGATATTATTCAAGAACGTTTACTCAGTGAGATAGGTTTAGAAAGACAAAAGTTGAGGTTTCAACAAATACAAAAAATAAGAATTTGAAGGAATGGAAGGAGTGGATGCCCTAGCGCCATCGCAAACGACCTTCATCCATGGCATTCAAGGTCTCAAACCATCCGTTCTTATTGTCTCACGGACTTCAACCTGATAGCCTATATCTACCGACATGACTCAGTCCACTTGTCAGTGATTTCATGGATTTCTGCCATGTTTTGGTCTTGCCGCCCCTACCTCTCTTTTATCCAACTCCCAAATTACGAAACAAAGCTCGGTGATCGAGCATTCTTAACACATGTCCCAAACACATTAACTGAGGACGTTTCAATACTTCGTCTATTGATCTGTCAACATTACGTACTACTCGCTTGCTAATGTCATTATTGCGTACTCAGGTGTCCCACTATGAACAAGCAATGCTTCTAAGACATCTATGATCGAAAACTAGTAACCTTATAATATCTTCTACTCTTACCGTCCATGTTTTTATCATCCATACAAGAGAACGGAGCAAAGCTTTGGTTAGAAAACTTTTATACTGCCTACGTCATAAATGACGTAAATTCGCAAAAGAAAATATAGACTTCTGTATGGTTACTTCTGAGGTGCGATAGGGTGAAGTTATTTGTTTTGATGACGAAAATAGAGCTGTATTTATGGTGTGCTCCTGAGTCATGCACACAAAATTGGCAAAACAATAACTGTAATTTACAGACTTTTGGATGGAATCTCGAATTTGTACGACTGCTGAAGTTGTATTGGAGCTAAAATCACGCAGTTCCAAATTCTCAAAAATTGATTCCTAATCGGTACGTTTCATCGTTTGATTGACTGTGATTATATATAAACAAAATATATCATGATACTATGAAAGCGTGTTGTGACTCACTGGAACAGGCTTGTTGAATAGTGAATCTTTAGTAATTATCAAACATATATGGATTGAAAATAGTCGTATTGACATTTAGTAATCGTTAGTGAGATGCATGTAGTTCAGTCGTTGATATGCAATTAACGTCTACTATCGTTCCTAGCTATTGTAAACTGAATAAACGATAACTCCTTGACTAGTTAAGTCCACAGAGCTGGTTTTTTCCAGGTTTGACTTGAATTCTTTTTCGGGGCTAGCATGCAAAAATCACTAATAGAGATACATGCGATTTACATATAAATATGCATCATTTGTGTGAACAATTATGTGCACAGACGAGGATTGTCTTTCGTGACTTAATTTACTTGATAAGTAGTCTCTATATAATACATAAATGCAAGGGCGTATATTGGTCGGATTTATATCGAAAGCACAGCAATCTTATCTAAAAGCCCCAAACCTGAATTCGCTGTACTTTTATATTACATCCATTCTTCCTGGGAGAAATATTTGAACGATCGTCAAGCAAAGCAGAAAGGTAAAAGTTTGAATTAATTAGTTATACTGTCAGCAAAAGTGAAAAAGTTCAATCAATTAAATTCTCGGTAACCGCATTTCAGATTAAAAAAACACAGCAATGAAGTAAACAATGAATGCCATAATTACTGTATTATGAATAATAACTTGCAATAGAGTTCTGAGGGGACACCGATTACAAATCAATCTGATTATTGTTTGTGATCACACGTAACAAATTATGTAAAAAACAATCAGGAAAACGTTTTAATAGATCAATGTATTTTTGAATAGCGAACAAGTAGTAATCATTTTTCATAATTTCTTCCAAATAGACAGCACGATTTCAGGAATACAATACAAGAAATAATTGATATGTAATTTCGAAAGAATCACAAGTATCAGATATTCAAACGCGAATATAAAAGTCATATAAATCGATGAGTAATCTTCCTTTTTGATGTTTCTCATTAAATAATATGTTGTCAATGCAATTACCTGTATTAAAAAAAATGTTATGTTTAGTCTGATAATAAATAAAGAAATTGAACGCGTCATAATACCCTGATAGAAAAAGAAACTTTCACTGATTGAGTTTTTCTTGTTGACTTTTTTTGGAAAGTTAGATTTTGGATGGTATGTTATCGCCAACCCATGCCGAACCCTCTACATTTATCCGCGATTCAGACTGTCAGTAGCTCTAAAGTTTCTGCTTGCCTCATACTGCGAAATGCACTTACTGCGTCACAAGACTGGTTCATACTTGGAACCCTCCAGGTTAAAAGAAAAGAGGAAGATCAAGGAACAAAGCATATCAAGAAACAGAGAAAGACATGACAAAAATGAACAAAAGCCGGAAAGATCTAGAAAAGGAAGCTCAGGACAGAGATGACTTAAGAAAAATGATGTTCGGCCTTTGCTATATTAGGGGTCACAAGTGAAGGTATGTAAGTAAGTAATGATGGAGTTTGCGTAAATTTTAAAAAACACGTTTAAAAGATATGTAAATGAGCAGTAAAAGATTTGTTTGATTATTTGACCAATCAACTAATCTGCGATGACATTCTGTTTGTTGACCAAAAGAACAAACATGTCTACAAATCTTTACTTATCGAAATCTAGCCAGCAAACAAACTGAATATAAACTTATCAGATTTATAGTTTTGTTTTGGAGTATGATATTCTTCAAATTCACTATGTGGAGAGAGAGTGACATATTTATTATCTTTCCATTTATAAGTATACATATTTACTGAAATTAAACCATTCGTCAGCGACTCACGATAAACATTGCCTCGCACCAACAAATGGCTGACAAAACGAAAAATGCAATCTGGAAGAAAATGAAAGAAAACATTTCATTTGAAATCATTTTGTGAATATCTGATAAGCATTCAGAAAAGATTATTCATTCACAAATTTCTGCAAAATGTTTCGATACAGCTTGCAAACGGGCAACTATACAGTAATGACTAAACACGATTTTAATTTGAGTATTCACGCATAACAGATATATTAAACATATATTCATTTTACTAGTGGTGTATATTTTATGATGGTGAGTTACTAAGTAACAATCATAATTATTCTACAACATCAGATCAGTAATCTCTTTCGAAACTTTGAAGTCAATGCTTGAGGACAACTCAGGGTACACGCACATGTCTTCATCTATGAGATTATACAATTATATTCCACCTGTCACCAATAAACAGCTATTTGAAGTATTCAAAATATACAGGGCAAGCAATATATATTTATATAAATATATATAAAAACACATCGAAGTTCAATCGGAAATCGGAAACTTACAATAAACGTTCTATCACACCATTTAATCTCCGTTAGAAAAGAAAATATCATCTAGAATAAAAGGGAAGAGGTTATTTGATTTTGTGAGTGTTCGATTGTCATTCACAAATCTTTATTCATTCACTACTTTGCTCACTTCAATGAATTTAGTAATAAATTATTCTGTCAATTCAGTGTCTAATTATTTCATGTTTCCAATATAGATACTATACAACAGATCTGTTTGAAGACAATTAGTTTGACAACAAAAAAGTTAATTCTGTTCTTTCGAAAGTAATTTTCCATTTGTTCTGTAACCACGATATGTGTACTTGAGAGAATCGATAAAATTATGACATTAGCAGAACAAATCTTACATAACTAACAGTCTCTTTTCAACATAAACAACTCTGGCTTGTATCCATAAATTTGTAGATCTCAAATCTTTAATTGTAGTTCCGTGCACAAAATAATTAAAGCCGGTTCGTTCAGATGTGTGAAATTATAAGATTATCGAAGCCTATATTTATTTTAACGCATTTGTATATATATTGATGGTAAGTACTTAGTTGATTTTAAAAAATTAATAAACAACATCAAATAAGTAACCTTTTGTAATTCGGCTAATTTGATTCTTCAGGACAACTTACCATACCCAAATTCTTGCAGATGATACATATAATGCTGCAGGCGATTCCAAGTGTCAACAATACACAGCAAACAAAAAATAACAGTTTTCTCCATTTTGCTGCTGAACCTTTCATTCTTTCACCCAATATGACAGCCAAGATCATTACTACGAATGGTACAATTGCTGCAAAAACCTGTTCTTTCCACGAGCCACATAAAGTCAATAATCCAACACCGGTAACCATTATAATCAACTGAAAAGTAAAGAAAATATATGTCACTTTCTAGTAAATGCTGATGACTTTTTCTGTGGAACAAAAAGGTTGAGATGAATCAAATACAAATACGCAAAAGGGTATAGTCATTCATTTATTGCTTCGGTGCGTTGGCGTTATCGTAACTGCAGAGTGAAGAGTGATACTAGAATGGCTTCATATATCTATGAATACAGTTTTCCATAATGCACGCTCAATCCCTTCTATTTTTTGTCATATTCAGCTGCATATCAAAAAATTCACAGATTTCCTAGACACTTTAAATGCTCTGATTCAATTGATATTCATACATACCTATATTAATATCACTGTTTATTAAGGTAAATCCCAACGTAGATTCAAACACAGTGTCATTTCGGAAAACTCAATGAAAACATGGACAAATTTATGAATATCATATACAATTATGTTTGACGTACGGTTAGGACCATGATGATGGTATTCCATGTAGACGCGGTATGAAGCGCTTTGATGAGTATAATGAAGAGTGCCAGTATCAGAGCGGTACCTCTGTAGTGTTAGAACAAAGTTTTTTTAGCAAAATGGATCGAAGTATACATGATACAAATCACCAGCAGTTCTTTTCTACATATATATATATGTACAACAAATGGTCAGCAATTCAGACGAGCTACATTTTTTATCGCTAATTTTGAAAGACGATGCAGGCATTCAACATTGATAAAAATCGGTATATCATTGTAATGATGATCGGATATTAGTCACTTATAAAATGTAAACATTTTCTACTGCGGCGCGTTTGTTGTAATTTCTACGTAGGATTGTGTATCGAAATGATGATGACAACTGATTAGTCAGTTAAGGAGATTATCCATAAGAAGTATGTATAAAATTTCTTAATAAAAATTATTCAATTTTCATAACTTACATTAGAACGAAACCAGATTTGTTACGAGGCTCAAACCATTCTGTTGAGTTGAATCTGTCAGGTGGAATAGTGAATTCTTAATGTACATCAGTCACTTACATGCAAAAATTTTTTTCATCACAGATGTTATAGTCATTTGCATATGTTGTTGCATCGAATGCCCATGTTAACATGGCTATAATTATTCTATTGAATGTAATCAATAACTCCATGTTCGAGTAAACTGGCGGAAATGTTAGATACAAGTAGTCATTATCAATAAATACATGTATATACAAGAAAATCTAAATCATCTTTTGGCACTTATTAACTCAACACTCAGCAGTTTATGAACAGTTATGCCTTCGTAAATATGTCAAATACGATAGACAAGTAGTTTGACAACACTAAGTTCAGCTCTGTTGTGAGCAATTCTTTCTCTTTACAAATATATCTGCATATCTACCAATCTATCTGTCCAGCTATTCATCAATCTACAAATCTTTTTACCTACTAATATAAAGAAATCGATGCGGTTCATTGTCACAGTCAAGGCAAAAGTACACTGAATCAAGTCATCAAAATACAATCCTTAGTTAAACTGTGTTGCTAAAATTCACAAACTCACATCTCTCTTCGTCAGCGTTCAGTTAATACAGTTCGATTATGTCACCGAGATTTATATTCACACAAACCAACATTTATCGATTGACAAGTGATTACTGTGATACTGGACTTTGGATTCACTCACCATGAAAAAACCATGCGAGAAACAACGCAGTCCTTGATTCAGTTACCAATACGGTAAAAAAAGTCAAAGAATACGCGACAATACTTGGAAATGTAAAGAATGGACTATCCTATCAATTCTTTAAGCTCAAATTTTGCTCATGGTATCCAGTTATTTAAGTGGTCCTTATCTTCAGTTTTTAAACGTCATGAAATTTTGCCTGTGAACATTTGTTTGAGGAGATGATGAAAGTAATTGATCATGGATCTCATCACCAGACATTACTTAGCATGGTTCAAGTGTTATGGTGTGGGTATTGATGCATCACGATCTGTTGCCCGATGACTGATTGAATTCGGAGTGACTCCGCCTCAATTATTGAGACTTTGACAGCAATATATTCAAGTTCTCAATTTATAAATAAATTCCCAGTCTGTGTCGTCACTGTTTTGATGTAAATACACAGTATAATAGTTAATTGTTTACTCCATTTTCTACCTCACCAATGTTTGTACTGTTCATTTCCAAGTCGATTTCTTTATATAATATCATCTTCCAGTTAAACATGCTGACCGTTCACAGAAAACACACTATATGTCTTCAACTGCTATGGTTGCCGGAAAATGGACGAAAAAGACTTTAATTAAACAAAATGAAGTTAGGGTTAACATTACTATTTAGGTTTTGTGACAATATTGTGGATAACAAAAATTTAAGACTGATAATAGTTATTATTATAGTTTAGAGGCATTTGCGGACATGCTTTTGAACATTTGACGGATAATAATCGTTCCCATGACCCTGACTTTGAAATTAAGTTTGTTTGAAGTATTTGTAGCCATTTCATATGTATGACGAGAACGTTATTCGTTCACTATACCTAAGTGCACTAGTGAATGTGTAATTTTGCTATTTGTTTGCTCGTTCATCTGTCACGATTTCGGTTTTCAAACGATCACCAGCAAATATATTACCCTTCATGAACGAAACCATTTATTCTCTCCCTGAAAAACATATATATAACACTAAGTGACAGGAGTGCAATTCTTCTGTGGTTATGTTTTTGCTCAGTTTTCACTCTCTATACTATAAACTTCACCAATAAATACCATTGACAGCCTTTTGTTTGAACTAAAAATTCAGACTTTGTGTATCAATGTGCTTAATCAGATCGTTTTTTAAATTATTCACTGAGATAGCGATGTTTATGCTGTAGCTTCACGTCAAAATAAAAGATTTCCTTGAGACTTTGAAGTTCGGCCTCAATAGGTTTCCAAGTTTAATAAATCGAAGCGGCCTTCTTGTAATTCGCACCTCTTAGGATGAGTTACTTATTGATGACTCAAAGACTCAGCATTCCTTCTACTCTTATTGGAAAAAGGACCATTCAGTCAACACACAGTCAGTTCTACTCAAAAACGTGCTCACTTTTTCATAAATTGTACATAATTTTTCACTAAATACCTATTTAATCAGGTTTATTGGTCTTTGATGCCTAACGCTTGCGACATATACTTGGAATAGGGGATGTATTTTCTTCAAATATTGATACGTTGACGTTAGTCGAGTCTATGCTAGTCTATGAATTATTTCCCCCTGGTAGCGACCAGTCTTTAATTTCCTTGCTCTTAAGCAGAAGATTACCACGCTTTTTTAAATGTATATGGAGTCGGTACGAGTGCATGTGTGAATTATATGCGAGTTTTCCTACCTTACATCGTCTTCAACTTCGCGGAGCTGAAAATACAGTGATACTTAGGTTCATCTTCCTTATCAATTAAAGTACAATGTAAAAAACAGAAAGAATACTTTTCCTTCTTCAAAAATGATAATAAAGGAAATACATCTCACAAATGGATGACACAGCGTTCTGTATTCGCAGGTGTATTATTTTCAGTGGCCTAAAATTAACGTCTGATGACGTACAAGCGGTTCTACATCGTGCTCCCAGGGCTTAACAATCTAGTCAATCATGATAGACTTCGTAGTAACTTAAGTTGTCAGAAATTAAACGCAAGCATCGAAATATACAGGAGTTTTAAAATTCTCGTCTGAAGAACATTCAATCATTTGACAACTTCACTGTCCAAAATAAAAAACATGTGAGTATTACACCGTTCTAGGAAATATACACTTGAACGATAAAAAATAGTAATACTACTGAGGATACAGTAAGAAGTTTATTGTTAATCTTGTCAAGGTTCTATGGAATGCATAATTTACGTCACTCAAACGGTGGAAATAAAGCCAGGTCTAAATTTTAGGTGGCGTCACGGTAGCGTATTCTTGCAACAAGACGAATTAGTATGGGCTGAACTAACTGTGGTGTGACTATTATATAGGTTTAGAGGTCATGCCACAGTCAGTCAGTTAGTAACAAAATAGAACTTCATTCTTACGTTCATCAGTTCACGTTCCCGTACCGCATTAGCACAGGGACGCATTTGTCAGTTCAAATCCAATAGTGGTGGAGAAAGTAGAAAAATAAGTAATAGTAGAGAGTATTAGAGATCAAAGTTATTTTTCAAGAAGTATTATTTGGTGAGATAGCTCCAGATGGTGAAAGACAGAGACGATAATCATTTCAAGAGTACAGATTTCAACAGCACTCAACTGATTTATGCATATGTGCCAATGCTAACGATTGTTAGTCTCTGACAATCGCGTAGCTCAATCAGCTAGTCTGCATCCACCAACATCACTCAACACACTTGTCGATGATCACATAGATTCGTACTATAATTCTTTTTAACCGCTTCTATCTTCCTTCCAACCTATTTCGTCACCACGAAACATATCTGCTTCAGTGGTTGTGCACTTGGAACACATGTCTTAACCACCTCAACTGATGAAGTTTCACTGCTTTATCCACTACTCTGCCATCCTTAGACAGTACTTGGTTACTTAATATAGCATCCTCACGATATATGAGCAATGCCCCTAAGAAATCTTAAATGGATAATTGATAAGTAAAGAGTGTCTAACACACTCAACGGCAATGTTTCGCTTTCATATAGTAGCACAGATTAGTTTAGGCAACGGATATCTTGCCTACGCCATTAATGAAGCAGGCTGGCAAAAGTCATTCGAACTTTGTTTGTCCATGCTGAGAAAAGGTCAAGAAACTCTACTATTTTGAGGAATCAAAACGATAGTCTGTGTTCTTGGACTCGGCGTAGTGCGAATAAGTTGTCTATTGATTCATTTCCAGTTCGAAAACCAGCTAGGTTTTCTCTAGTCTGCACTTCATACAGCAGAAATAATGTAAGCTGATAAGATGTCTTGTGACCCTGTATTATTTTATCGGTCTTGCATTAAAAATCTTCGGAAGCATATTCAGCTCTATGTCCTGCATGAGGACCTTAACAAGGCGTTCGTTATACTATGAGTTATAGATAACCACAATAGCAAGAAGAAGACTGAATGAATGTGACTTAAGCAAGTTGGTACATTTGCGACCAATATAATTCTCTTTAGCAATGATAATTTCCTAATGTATTGAACCGCGTGGTTGTTGAAGATTGAGATAATTTACCTCATATGTCTCATTTATATTTATAGTAGTCTCTGGACATATTGAAGCAGATAGTGAGAATAAATAACTTAGTAAGAGGCAGCAAATAAAAGAATAAGCTGTGGGATGTTAATCCAAATATCTATCAAATGAATATGTCCTGCGACCTATGATAATACAGATAAGTGAGCTATTCTGAAGATAGTTACATCGGTCAATGTTCGTAAGCCTCAAAGAATAAGCGAATAGCAGATCATCTCGAAAGTAAGTTTCGATTCACCTGAAACATTGACTGAACATCTGGGAGTCTGGTAGAAATATCTGTGCTCATCTCAGTATGTTTGACCGCATAAAGAGACGAAATATACAAGTGGAAATACATGAGCAGCTAACCACACGCGCATGAGAGAGATCAAAGTTCATGCCTCATGGCTACGAGAATGGTGTACGCTGACAGTGGGTGATCTCTCGTCAACGAAATGTGATATCATCCGGAATGCTGTCATTAGCACAGTATCTCAGTCACACCACACACTCGGAAACTGAAAAACGTGGACTTGGCCCGGTACTTAACGCCTGCTACAAGGGAATATTATAGCCGAGCACGAATGGAAAGTCACATTTATGAGGCCAGCTGAGAACGTACAGGAAAACCCTATGGACCGGTATCAGTTCATGAATAATATTGAAATCTTAGAATCAGCAAGTCTGTTTTCATAAGCTCATTCAATAACGGTAAGCAGATCCTGAAATCATCCTAACAAGACGCCTCCGAAAATTAGTTTCAATTACGCTTGGGAAATTAGCTGCAACTTACTGCATCAGGTAAAATTATCCGTCCAGACTTCAGCCTGTTTGATCGTATTACAGGAAGAATTACAGAGACAGAAATGAATTAAGCCATCAAAATGACGAACAATCATAACATTCGAGAATTTCGCAGTTGTGAAAGTTCGTAGAAAAACGAACCACAAAGAACTCAATTTTTATTTGAATTGTT